TACGAGGGTGAATGTACCCTTCCGCCATCAGGTGACGATCCCAACTGCTATTGATGATAACTATGTGGATAAGTTTTGTAGGCCGAAGGGATTGAGAGGAGGACAAACCTCTAGTGTTGATGCTGATGCTGGTACAAGTTCAGGAGCTGGTGATGTTTCTGGTTCTAGAGTTGCAGGCTCCTGGGGCTTTGAGTCATTCCATAGGGAGACCTGTAACTACAACTGGGAGTGGATGACGACAACTCAGTGTGCCATGATTGATATTCATGATTCTATGAAGGTACTATAGCTGTAGTGCATGGAGCCCTCTGTGGAGCATTTGATGATGACTAGGGAGCAGTTCCTAGCTCATGCTGGTTGGCCTGAGGTCATGCCACATTTTGGAGAGGGTGCATGTATAGCTGATCCTAAGGATGTTGAGGAGACTGAAGATGATGGCGAGGCTGGTTCTGATGATGTTTTTGGTTTTGGAGAGGAGGTTGATCTAGAGGATGAGACCGAGTTCGATGAGGACTAGTTTTTGTTGTTGGATACTTTGAGCGTGATCTTAGGCGACTTCCTTTGGTTCTACAAAGTGAAGTTTTATGTTAACTTAGATCATTTCTATTTATGTTTATGTTTATTGTATTCCCTTTTGTTGTACAATATCCACTTGGTGGATTATTTTGGATATTGTTGTTTGTATGTATCACTTTTGGGTACTAGTACTTTTGTTGGTATTTTACACCATTAACATTTTAATATTATTTGCAGTTGAATTCTTCAGTTCACGAATGTTCAACTTTCGTTTTCTTTACTTTCATTTTTTTTTATTATGTTGTTTAAGAGTTGAATTCTTCAGTTTAAGAATGTTCAACTCTTGTAGTTTTATTGTTGATATGCTTTCTTTGAATTTAATGTTTCCCTTTTGTGGTGTTGAAATGTGAGAACTTCTAGATTAGTTTCTATTTTCTAAAAGTATCCAATGAAGATTCTCCCATGTTTGGATGGTGATGATAGTATTTGATCATGTAAATATTGGCAAGATACATGGTTACCTCTTTCTAGAATGCTAGAACGTTTAAGAATTTCTTTTCTTTGTGTAAACGTAATTTTGTTTCATTTTTGCAACTTTGTTTGAATGCTTGTATCACTTAGGTTCCAATAGCCACAAATTTGTGAGAAACCTCCATTATTTAATAAATGAATAGGATGAATGATAAATCTTGTTAAATACATTTGATTCATGCTTAATCTTGTGATTTTTTTTTTATTTTGTGGAAGCATTAGATATTATCAAGGCGCTTGTTGATAATGACCACAACCATAACCAAAAATAACTTACCTATGAGTAGTGAGAATTTGCTAACCCCTTTGAGATTAATAGTTTAGATCCTAATTTAGTGATGAACTTCGTATTTGTAAATAATTTGAAAGATAGTTCATCATTTAATTGTGTAGAATTCTAAAAGAAAATCCTTGAACCTTTGAAATTGCACTAAATTGTCTTCCTTGCCGTAAAAATCAAGGAAAATTCACTTGAGGTTTGGTTGAGACCAAGTTCGGGAGAGTAAAAAGAAAAGTGGTAGGTTACTCAAAATTTTGAAAAATTTCAAACAAGTATTAAAAATAAAATGTGAATATGAATGTGAAAATTAAAAATAAAAAGAATGCTTGTTTGAAGAAAAAAATATAGAGAATGAATAATGTGTAAAAAGGTGTTGGAAGGGTGAGCAATAGAGAAAGGAAATTGGTGAATGAAGTTGTGATGTGTAAATACCATGTATAGTGAATATTCCTTTTGTGTGGCAAATGCATTAATTTCTTCAATTCTTATTCGAAGAGAAGTGTTAGAGTGATTCAAGCATGAGAATTTAGTTGTTACTTGAAGCATTGCATGATATTTATTTAAGAACAAAATTCTTTTGTATTGTTTAATTCTAGAAAGTTGTAACTGTTGCACCCTAATTTTTGACCCTAAGATCCCACCTCCTTGTGAAATTTTATTGCATGTCATCTAATTCCAAGCATGCATAGCTAACCATTTTAACTCATTTGTTTGTTTTGTTTTGCGAAGATAGGTTCACTGCTGGAAGTCCAAAAAGCCATGAATGCCTTGGGCTTCTCCAAGGAAGAATAGGTTTTTCTTGCTCTTTTGTCTCAGGGGTGTTCATCCGAGGTTTGGTTGGAATTTCGTTGGAGTATCACCTTACAAGTGGTATATTCAATTTCAAAGGATCTCTTCGGACACTGTTTTTTCCTTGTAAGAGGGATTGTTAGTGATCAAGTGGAGGATCTCAATTTGAGATAAGTTCGAACCATTTTGAGTTGGGATAGTAAAACCAAGTTTGGACAATTAATCTTTAAATAAAAAAATCAAGAATCATGTTCCATGCAAAATCCAAGAGAACTTGGGAGTTTTAATTTCAATTGTAAATTCGAGTCCCATATGCAAGACCAGAGAATTTTTATGGGAATCCAAATGGGGTTACAACACGTAGTTGTTAAAGGTTTCTTGTTGTTGGTATGATTAAGCATTAGAGTCATGGTTTACATAAGAGTTCAAAGCCGGTCACAAAAGCCGTTTGGAGTCTTTACTGTACTAGTTTTAAGATCTATCTTTGTGATATGCAAGACCAAAAATAATAATGACAATAATAAGTGGAAAAACTAGAGATTGGTCTTCTCATATATAAAATGAAGGTTCGAGTTTTCAAGCCGTTTTAGGCGCTGCTAGTTCATGACCAGTTCACTGCCAAGTCCAAACGTGAAGCTCAAAATGATGTTATTCACTATCTTAATTCAATAGAGTATTGTAAAACCATCATTGGTTCAAAATACAAGGAAAATGAGTGCAAGTTATGAAGCATTACAAAAGGTGCTCTATCATATCAAAGTTCACACCTGCATTTGCCCCAAAATTCATGATACAAAACAGCCAAAAAAAATAAATATACAGATTATGGAGTCTCATAAAGGGCTGGCATTAGAAAAATAAGTTCAAGATACAAAGGGATCTGATTTAGTCTTTATGCCTCACTAACAGGACATTGAACTTGACGGTGACCTCGACTACATTTATCTTCGAAGGGATAGGCGGCCGGTGTCACTACAGAGAAGATGGTGTGGAAAGAGTTGTATCACCAAGATAGGAGCACCACCAAACTAATGAAGAAATGGGTGTGCAGCGACCGTTGTCGTCATCCAGAACTGGTCCTCGCAACGACATATTGCCTACGACATGAAATAAAAGCACAAAATGCAATGTCAGGAGAATAAAATTGACAACAACAAAGGTAATCCAACGGTAACGTCAGAATTTCTCTTCTAGTACCATCCACATATACTTGTACCACACTCTTTCCGATGTATGGAGGACTAGAATCGGTACTACCTCTAGCATCTTCTCCATCTACTTTATTATGTCGTTGATGCTACTTCTACACACCTTCAACTGGCTGTGAAAGATCGTGAATATTGGAAGAAGCCATTTCTGTGACATATCAACAATAAGGTTTCGAGTCCCCAACCTGCAGTCGAAATGAAGTTTAGTTCTCAAAGCGGAGGAATTGAATCATGGCCAACAAGTCAGGATATTTGATAGTAAACTTGGATACCTCCTGCTTTTCTAAAACAGCAAGCTGCTTCCAAAATTCGAATTCACTTATTGCATCTCCATAAAGTAGACAGCACCTGTGAAGCCAGGAGAAATGTCAAAGAGTCTCAAAGTAGCCAAATGTGGCTTTTGTTCGCAAAATGCTTCAGAATAGCCACCAGCATCACTCCCGTAAATTGGATGGATCCTCAGAGGCTTCGAGGAAATTTCTGCAGTGTTTAGCCGTTGCTCACAACCAAGGAAGGTTTATCACTTCATGCTTCTGTTACCCTTGATCTTTGTTTGTTACTAGCAGGTTTTTGGGTGTCAACTGCATAGAAAAAGAAAAACGCAACTCAGTTGACATCAAAGCGTTCAAAAAACGAAGCTGAACTGAAAAGAGCAAGCGCGAGATCTTGCCTTAAGTTTTCTTCTTCTCGTCTCCACTTGTGAAGTTTGACGCCAGTTTCCAGGCCTTTAAACTTTGGTGAACACCAGCTCTGTTACGGTTTATGAGCTGAACTTCATGATGATTGGAACATCCCTGCCAAAACAACCTGCATAATTCAAACACAATCAAAACCAGAGTTAGTCCCATTCATACATGAACCAATACGTACACATATCTATGCCTAGCTACCACATCATCCATTATCACATTTCTTACCTGTGCAAAAGGTCTGCGAAACCATCGTAGGAGCTGTTCCGCAAACTAACATGTACCTGCAACTGACCGGATATCCAAGTGTTTATGTTCAACTCAAATTACACCAAATTTCACACGAACAAATCAAGTTATAACAGCAATCACCCATATCCATTTTTTTATACCTGGTGTGGAACCCTACGCCTTGTTCTTTAGACCCAACCTCATGACAGATAAAGCTTTAGTTCTGTACTCAACAAAGACCAAGCAGCAGAGGCATCTAAACGTTAGGACCATCTTCGTTTACGAATCCTCGCAGTCTCCATAGCAGGATATCATGCAGAAGAAAAATGAGTTGTTAGTTCGAAATAAATTGGACACAATGAATAAGCCAAAACATATCAAAACCATACCCTAGCTTAGGCTTCTGCATGAGAACACCTTCCACAAACCAGCTGGATGACCTGTAACCTTTTGGAGATGTTGGCTCCTTAGATGATAATGTGGAATCATTTCTCTCACAAGATGATGGTGATGGAAAGGACTTATTCGGGATACTGAAACGAAATCCTTCCAAGCATGCTACAGATGCTTCAAAAGGCTTTTCCTTCAATGAAGTTGGTTCTGTATGCAAAAGCAATGGAAAAGTTGTTTGTTGTCATTTCTCCTCAGATGGGAAATTATTAGCCAGTGTTGGACATGACAAGAAGGTTGTTCTAGGGAACATGGAGACACTACAAACTCAGAGCACACCAGAGGAACACACTGTTATTATTACTGATGTTCGCTTCAGACCAAATTCAACTCAGCTGGCAACATCTTTGTTTGATACAACTGTGCAACTTTGGGATGCTGCAGATCCAAGTTTTTTCCTTGCAGGCATATAGTGGTCATTCCTCTCATGTTGCATCCCTTGATTTTCACCCCTGCCAAATAACAATTCGAAGTCAGAAGCCCATTAAGAGGTATCTGTTTGAGAAAGAAATCCAATTCAAGACAGCTAGCAGAGTGTTGTATATCTCAAAGCAACGTATCTTAATAAATCAAAACATTTTAAAGGTGATTACCATAAAATCACACAGGAAAGGATCCTTATTAAACAGACATCAACACAATCAGACAGAAAAGGAAGATTTACAAATATTGTCTATAACCAAAATAGAAGGTCCAATATTGCATTCATGGCACATAATTAGAGTTTAAACACAAAGAGATCTGGTCTGAAGCCTATAAAAGGAGTTGGATTCACAGCTTCGAAAGGAGAGGAAAAAAAAACCTAAGCGTGTAAATCAGAAAAGAGGGAACTCAGCAAGAAACCCCAAATTCCACAGAAAATCGCCAACCACAAAAATCCCAACATTCACAAACAACACCCGACAAAATCCCAAAAAAAAGTGAAGCAAGGAACCTATCTGTTACCGGAAACCCTCACTCCGCCGCAAAGCTGTCGAAATCCTCAAACCTCCGTCAAACCCGTCGCCGGAGATCTCCACCACGAAGCACCACCACAACCAAATCCTCGTGTCGCCGTCTCTCCCTTTTCCGGACGAAATCCCTGCAAAAAAGAGGAACAGAAATAGAATGAAAAGGAGAGAGATGCGGTGAAAGAGTGGGTAGAACGGTGAGAAAGCAAGGAACGGCGGAGCAGATCGAGGGAGAGAAAGCGATCTCCGGTTTAGGGATTTGGGGGGGGGGGGAATTAGGTTTTTTTTTCTTTTTTATGATTTGTGTAAATGTAATATAATCGTATGTACGTACACACACCATATTAACATGCACCCTCACATCACAGACACACACCATCCTCCACCTTACTTACCACACGATCTAACGTTCCAAATCTCATCCCCACCGTAAATCCACGCACCAGCACACACCTGACCACACGCCTACCCTAATTAATCCTTTTAATCCAGATAATTAACCAAATCAACCTCTAATCAGCCACTTGAATTTAACATAATCATCACTTAATTTTAATTTAAATTAATTGACTAAAGAATTAATTTTTTTTACCAGTTTTCTTTTTATTAAAATGAACTAGCCATTTTTTTTCAAATCAACTTTCTCTTAATTTAATTAGCTTTTTTTTTCCTTACTATTTAATTAATTAATTAACTCACTTTTTATTCAATTCACTTTATTAATAATTTATTTTCATCAACTTAATAAACTTTTATATCATAATATAATTTGTTCAATAAGTAGAGTCTATCTCCTTTAATTTAGTAAAAAAAAGACCTTATACTTAACAAGAACTTTTCCTATTAATTTGTATTTAATCATCCAGAAAAACCTTTTTCTAAATAAATTTAAACTTTAATAATATCCTTTATTTTATACAAATACTAATTAAAAATAATGCAATTTTACTAATAAAACCCCGCCTCTCATTTCATTCAAAATCACCCATTAGAACTTGATTAAATCATACCTAAACTTTTTTTATTAAAACTAATATGATCAATATAACCTTTTATAAAAACAATCTCACTAAAAAATAATAAATCAAATAACCTTTCTCAAATTAGTTTATCATCTCAAGTTTTATTAAAACTAATAAAATCAATTCACATAAATTAATACAACGTTTTCGTAAAATCAAAGAAAATTCACCTCACCAAATTAATCAACATTTTCTTGAAAACATAATTGACTATTTTCTCAAATCAATCCAAATGAACTAATATAACCCTTTCCTCCAAATCAATCTTGACTAAAATAAACCGACATCATAAACAATCGCGCACACTCACATTCACGACACATTCACACTCACCTACACCTTCAGCGCTTTCATGCGTACATGTATGTTTATTTATCTGCCTTTAATTTATTCGCAACTTTATATTTCCGCATTTACATTATTGCAATTTACTTTACCGCATCGCATTCCGTCCAAAGGAAAAACCTACACATGAGTCAACACTTGTGTGTAGCGCATTCATTTGCATCATTCTCCCACTTGATCCTTGATCCCATTCAAGTCGATCTCTTAAGATAGATCCTACCCCATAGGAAGGACCTTGTTTTATATTACAACATAGAAACAAAAACAATACAACTCAACATACAATATTCAAATATTCAAACACAATAGAGAAATAGATGTTAATCATCTTAAGCGAGATAGAATCTCCACCCCACAACAATACAATCAATACCGTAAGAACTTTGCCTTAAGAGAGATAGAGGCGTACCTCGTCGATCCCTATCCGAGTACTTGAGCCCTTCTCTTAAGACGATGCAAAGAATATTTTCCTACACCTTGTGGCGGTTAAATCTCTCTTAAAATGACAACGCATCTCTTCTCCTAAAACCAATCAAATCAACTACCTTAAACCCGTAGGAACTTTGACCACAGTCAAAGAACTCCTCATACCCTTTAGGGGAACTACAAATACTCTGATTCTACTCCCGTGAGGATATGTAGGCATAAGATGCGATATCTTATCGAGTATACTTAGAAATAAACCACTAGGTCTTTTATCCTTAAGCAGATAAACACTTAGCAATAAACTAACATAAAACAAGAGGTTCATGTAGAGTACTACAGAAACTTAGGATGCTAGCACCTTCCCTAAGTTTAACCAACCCCCGAACCTAAAACTCTCTAAACCTTGCATTTGCATTGCATTGTGGGAATTTCAATCTTTATCCCTTCCTTTGGACGAATCAAATTTCGGTTGCAAAATGAATTAAAGATTCAAACTAATCAATAGTTTGGTATCCGATTTTCACCGCGACAGAAATGGCGACTCTGCTGGGGATGCCTCAGTGAGTTTCCCTATCTTGCTTTATTTATTTATTGCTTTATATCTGCCTATTTGCTTACTTTTTTATTTGTGTTCTTTATTTCTTTTGGGTTATTATCCTTGAGTGGTGAGAAAAAGTCCTACACCCGGACTTGAGAGAAATTAAGATAGGATGGTGATATATTCGATGAGGCTTATAGGGAGTGAGTCCCGACTAAGTTAATTCGAGAATCCCGCTCAGTTTAGACCCTTTCAAAAATGGTTCGGTTGAATGAGTAATCGTGAAGACCTTTGCTATTTTCGATTGGAGTCTATGATATTGAGGACCGTAGTTACCTTTAACCCCACTTTGGCCTTTATTAGGACGTAGTGCAAGGCTATGAGGGAGTAAGTCCCGAAATAGTGCTACGCGATGCTACACTCAAAAGAAGTTCTCTTGAGAATATTATTAATCCTCGAGTTAGTTGGGAAATTGATAATATCCGAAAGATGGACTAATGACTTTGGGAACCTCTTTAGAACCTTGTTATGTAGGTATAAACAACCTTTAGTCCACAACCTTTGGGAATGGGTATACCTTTGGCTCCATGCTCGTTGCAAACCTAAGGCCCCCCTTTGTTTGTTTATCTTTGTGTCCTTACGTGCTTACCTGTGTTGTTGCATCCATAAAGCATCATATTGCATCGGTTTCATAAAATTCCTAGTTTATTTATAAACATTACAAAAACCAATAGGGATTACAAAAATATTTGGAAATATTCTTTTAAGAGTCCTAACTTGGATGACCTAAGGAAGTAGGAGCTAATATTGAAGAAAACTCAAAGGACAAATGCGAGAGGTCTTCCTTATCATACTTTCATTGAAGGCCTAAGCAAACAAGGGATTCACCCCTTACCTCCGACAAGAACAAAAGAAGAGATGGAGGATTTATTTTCCTCTATCAAACTAATCTTTAGACGTTGATCATGGACAACCTATATTCAAGAAGATCCAAGTAGAAGAGTAGATCAACAAGCATGATGAAAGACTTCCTTAGGGCTTTTACTAGCTTTTATTTAGCTATTATGTTGGGACTCTTATAAGAATATTCATTTATAATTGTTGCACCCTAAAATTTGACCAACCGGTCCTCATATCTGGTTTATGTTTCGACACATTTTGCATTCGCATTCGCATACGGCATGCATTGCATTTTTATCATTCAGATTGGTTTTTATCGGGATTATAGCCCCTGGCGTTTCAGGCAGCTCATGCCGGTTGGAATAAAAGTCTGTTGAGAATTGATGCTCGTTCCTGGTGTTTTCAGGCTATCTCGGTGCCAGGGTTTCGCTACGGTTGCGCATTTGAGATTTATTCGATTCAATCGGCCTCCTGGCATTATTAGGATTTTTCTGGATTTTTAATGCACTTTAATGGATTTTTCTGGATTTAATAGAGTTTTTAATATTTTTTAGAGTTTAAATAAATTTTCTTTTCATTTTTTAGAAAAATTAATAGATTTTTAAAATTTTTTAGATATTATAGTTTTTAATAAAGTTTAGATATTAATTTTCTTTTATTAGTTTTTAATAGATGAATAGTTTTTTTAAAAAAGAGTAGATAAAAAGAAAAAATAATAAAATAGATAGTATTGTTTTTTTTTAGATTTTTATTAGAGTTTTATTGTTTTTAAAAGATTTAATAGAATAAAAGAAAAATAGAGATTAAAGGTTTTTTTAGATTTTTTTTTTTGATTTTTATTTTTCAGAATTAATTAGGATTTAAAAAAAGATGATTTTTGGATTAAATAATAGTTTTTAGATTTTTTAGACTTAATTAGGTTTTTATTTTCTTTATTTTTCGTTTTTAGATATTAATTAGGATTAAATGATAGTTTTTTTTTAGATTTTTAGATTTAATTAGGTTTTACTTGTTAATTTTCGTTTTAACAAATTAATTAGGATTAATTTTAGCATTAATTAGGGTTTATTAGATTTTAATTAGGTTTTAGTGTTAATTTTCGTTTCAGTTAATTAGAGTTAATTAGATGTTAATTAGATTTTATTTTAATCATAGTTTTAGGATTTAATTAGGTTTTTTAGTTTTAATCAGTTTTTTTAGTCATTAATCAGATTAATCCAAGTGGGCCAAGTATCCAGTATCAAGCCCAGTTCAAAAAGTCCAAGTCCAGAGGCCACGTGTTGTATAAAAGCCACCGCCACGCGTGCGTTTCCAGCTCTCCCACCTCACTCTCTCTCTCACTTTGCATGCGTTCCACGTGTGCTTCCCACTCAGTCTCTCTCCACTGACACGTGGCCTCATTTCCATCTCCCTCTGCATGCAGCAACGCCACGCGTCCCCTCGCCGGTAACACTCCCGCCAGCCATGCAAGTCCGGTAGCCACCACAACTGCTCGTCGGCGACCACTGCAACAGTCACCGGAAAACACCAAAATCCCCAGAAATCCAT